TCCATTCTAACCCAACCGCTCAGCAATTTCATTTGGTGCCCACGAGTCTGGCATACCTGGGAAGGACATTTTTGAATTGTGACCACCAATTTGATTGTATCTTCAATTTATTGTTATTGTGTTGCAATAGACTGATGTTTACTGTTTACTTGTGAAAATTGTGTATCTTTTGATGGTGTACCCTTGCAGTCTATATTTTTGCATTCTACATACGCTTGGGGTCCCTGTTGTTTGGCTGTTGCCACCGTCTGGGCACCCACCTCGGCTCTTCTGTAGGACGACGTCCGCAATGACCCAGCTCTTCTGCCCCCACTGTGGGAACAAGACGCTGAAGAAGGTGGCCGTGACCGTGGGCAGTGAGGGCAACCTCCACATGCACTTTTCCCGCAACCCAAAGGTGCTGAACCCTCGCGGACTCCGGGTGAGTGGCTGGGGCGCAACGTGGGCTGCCAGAGCAAAACCCTCTTCCCTCACTAAGGGCTTGTTGTTGTCGTTCAATCACACGGTCGAGTCTGACTGTTCGCGACCCCGTGGACCCCCCCACCAGGCCCCCCCCCCCAAATTTGTTCTTGCTCTTGGGGAGGGGGGGAGGAGATTGGCCACCAAGATCCACAGCGCTGCCCTTCCTCATGGCAGCTGAGGCAGGAGCATCAGTAAACCTGTATCCCCCGGCACAGTGCATGCTAGCTGGTGAAACGTGGGACCCCCAAGCCAGTCGTGGTGGATGGATGACTCAAAGAGGCCCGTGGCTCTCCAGCCTCTGCGGGGAGGTGGGAGGAGGGGTACAGCTTTCTGGTGTGTATTGGGGGGAGGTCGTAAAGATTTTAGGGCAGTGGGGTCACTTGTGAGCTGTGTGTGTTTCTTCTTCCCCTCCCCCAGTATTCCCTTCCTGCTCCCCAAGGGGGCAAACACGCAAACAACCCCCACCTGGTAGGCGACCAGCGCTTCCCCCAGCAGCGGCTCTCCCGCAAGGCCCGGCAGAAGACCAGCGTCTTCGATCCGGATTACCTGGCCGGCACGTCTCCCTTCGCGGAGAACGACATCTACAGCCGGGCGGCCAACCTGCAGATCCGGGATGGGACACTGGGGGCAGGCCGGAGGCGGATGAACCCCAACACCTCCACAAAGAAATTTGTGAAAAAGAGATGAGGGGGGACAGCCCTACCCCGCCGTGGCCACCTCTTCGCCCGCGTGGTGCCCCATTGTGCTGCAAGAAGGTCAGACCTGAAGCCTCGACTCCCCTTTGGGACAGTGGCCCAGCCGTGTTTCCTGAACCCCTGCAGGCCAGCAGAAGCAGGGGCGGAAGCTGCACCTCTGGAGGGAAGGGGGTGCTGGGCAACGGGTCTGGAAAGCCCTGCGCAGTCCCCCGAGGGAGGCATCTCCTGTCTCAAAGGCTGAGCCACACGGGCCTTGTGAATAAAGCAGTGAGATCCACGTTGTGTTGTCTGTTTCAGCGAAGGACGAGAGGGAGGTTGGTTGCTTTCTGGCAAACGGGGGCCCGTGGGCCCTGGACACCACACCCCGGCTGCCTCGGCTGCGGGTGCATCCTTCCGCCTGGGCAAGGGGGCCCCCGAGCACATAGCTTGGCTGACTCCTCTTGGTCCCCTGCTGGTGACTCCTGTGTGGGCCGCCCTGCTGTGTATCTCCTGTGCCCAGATACCAGTGGCTGGCCTTGGGGGTGCGGCGCTCCCGAGCTGCCAGCTTGTGCTCTGACTCCGCTCTTCACAAGGAGAGCCTCTGATGGGGGTTTGTAATCCTTTAAGGCATATCTAGAAATGAGGTCGAAGGAGTTGGCTCTTGATCAGGGTGGGGGGCACAGCTGCCCCTTGGGGATGGGGGGGTGCTTTGTTCTCCAGAGGCAAAATAAGTTTGCGGCTGGACTGTGCTCTTGACGGCTGACACACACAAAAAGGATTGCTGTGTGACCCAGAGGCTTGTTCCCTGCCTTGTCAAGATGAACAGCGCTGTGTGCTGAGCATTCTGGGTAGCCCCCGGCCCACTTCGGGCTTTCCTTGTTGTGTGGCCCCTCGGCTTATCTGCTCTCGCTCTCGCTCCTCCCTGCTTGTAAGCGAAAGGTCTTTGCGAGTTCTGACCTGCGCCATCACGGGTGTGCTGTAGCCTGAAGCAGACCGGGCTGCCAGAGCGAGAGAGATTAGCTGTGCGCACAATGCAAAAACTGTGACATTCCCAGGCCCTTTTTACCTGTCACCTACCCGGCCCTCTAATCCTTCCCGATGTGTGTTGCTAGGAGAAGGCCGCACCCTGGGGCCAGGCCCACCTGCCTCTCCCTTCCCACGCAGCTGCCTCCACCTGCCCAAGAGCCGCTCTTAATTCAGACACGCCCAACAGGCAGGAGGGGCTGTAGCGGGCACGGGCTCCCCTCCCTCAGTGAAGATGGATGCCCGACGCCCTCTGGGGCTGATGCGGCAGGCGCCTGCCTTCTGCACAGTCCGTGGTCTCTGGGGAGCAGAGGGGGTGGGACCAGGCAAGGCCTCGAGGTCCCAGAATGCCCCCTGGCCACTTGCCGCTTTGGGGGGCCCTAGCCACAATCAAATTTAAAAAACACGACTGTCCCATTTTGGTCCCAGAGAGACGGATGTTCAGAGAAACATGCTGTGGAACCTTATTCAGTGTCACAATTCGCACCCCTGCCCTGACACACACACACACACACACACCCAGTCTCACTGCTCTGCCTGGCTGGCTGCAGAGCTATCCCGGAAGATGTCCCCCCACAAAGCTGTTGTGGAGAGCACTCAAAGGCCTCTGGTCGCTTAAAGGCAGCCGTGGGAGACCCAGCCTGGCCCCCGAGGCGGGAGGGGAGCTCTCCCTGCCGAGCCCCGCAAGGGCAGCCAGCCGGCCTGCCGGATGATGGCAAGAGAGCTCTGGGGGCCGGGAGGCTCACTTGGAACTTAATTGGCCTGTTTGCGCTCCCTGCTTATTTCTGGACTGAGGAGTGCAGCAACAGTGGTGCCCTGGGGACACCCCCCAACCCCCCATCCCTTGTCTCTCTGCAACTGTGGCAGGTATCCAAAGCAAACAGCGCTCCCCAGCAGTCCGGCACTCCCTGAGTGGAAAGCAGCTCTTCATGGGCTCAGCCCGCTCCCATCGCTGTGATGGACTTTCCCCGGAGGAAGACAAACACACACCACCCCCCCCCGTGTTTCTCCCCTCCCCTGCCTCTGTGGCACTTTCACTCTTGGGAAGAGGGCGCAGATGAGGGAGGAAGTCGGCAGCCGCTCTTCTCTGAGCAAGCCAGCACCCTGCAGTCGTGCTTCCAAATGGTGTGTGCCTGTTGTAAACCCAAATTAAAAAGCTGCGTTGCCTTTAAAAAGCGGCTCCTCTTCTCCAAGATGCTGCCATTGTTTCAGCAAAAGCACACGGAGTTCAAAGGGTATCCTACACGAGCCGATTCTCCAGGAAGGTTCCCAGTTTATAAATGGAACATGGGGGAAAATATGTTTGGTGTCATTTACAGGCCTGAATCTGGTCAGTTTTCTATCTTAGCACATTTGTGAAACTGCTCTCTTAAAAAGAACAAGAGACTGGGTGGTGGCTTAAATCTGACCTTGAATTGGATTGTTGGGGGGGGGGGCAGTGTCTCCTGATTTAGGAAGTTCTTCCCACCTGTCCAGTTAATTAGGCAAACCCTAAGTGTTCGAAGGCAGCCGTGGGAGACGGCTGCAAGAGTTGGACTATAAGGAAGGCCGAGTGCCAAAGAATAGATCCTTTCAGATTATGGTGCTGGAGAAGACCCCTGAGAGCCCCCTGGAGTGCAAGGAGATCAAATCAGTCAATCCTAAAAGAAATCAACCCTGACTGTTCCCTGGAAGGCCAGATACTGAAGCTGAAGCTCAAATACTTCGGCCACCACATGAGAAGGGAGCACTCACTGGAGAAGACCCTGATGCTGGGGAAGACTGAAGGTCAAAGAAGGGGGCAGCAAAGGATGAGGTGGTTAGACAGTGTTCTCGATGCAGCAAACATGAAGTTGAGCAAACTCCGGAGGACAGGAGGGCCTGGCGTGATGTGGTCCATGGAATCGCGAAGAGTTGGATTCGACTGTGTGACTGAACAACAACAAAAAAGACTGTCTAATGTACACAACTCATATACATGTATAGATTATATAATTGCCCCTGTTGACTGTTAAAATAATCGGGTAGATTCATCAGTTGGGCTGACTGTTCTGTCTGATTGTGGTTTAGAAATTTGACTTTATGTACTCCTCAAGCAAGGTCTAATGGATGGAGTTGACTGGACTGTGTGACAACAACAGGATCCAGCCCTCACTCCTCTTACCCATCAGGAGTATCTTCAGTATTTTAAGTGGCTGGTTGGGTACAGCCAAATTAAAATGGGGAATGGAAAGAGAAAGCCTATGTTTTCCCTGATAAGTCTCTAGAAACAAATAATCAGGTAGCTGTCATACCCATATTTAATTAGAATCAGCTATAAATTATGCCTATCAGACACCTAGACAGCCCAAAAAGGTCTCCCATACCTACACCGCAGGTTTTTTGAAGAGGGAATGAACTCCCAGCTTCTTGCTAGACCATTAAAAGGTAAATTACCTCTCAGACAAACTTTTCAAATCAGAAGTTTCTTCCACTAACTGTAGTCTCTTCCTCATCGGACAGGTTTTAAAAATTGGTGGTATAAATATGCAACCCCAAGCCGGTAAACTCAAGAATCCGAGATCAACCCCCACCCCTCTAAGGGCTTGCTTGTAAATATACTTTGAGTCCTGCCGGAGAGAGAGGAGGCGCCTTTGGGCTGCAAAGGAGGTGGGGAAGCAGCCTGGGGTTTTCCGGTGTCGTTTCCAGGCATCTGGACCCCTCGTCTGACCACTGCAGAAGCGTCCGTCCAGAAACAGGTGGGGGAAGCGTCCGCCCCCGACCTCTCAGCCAGGCAGCCACTCCACGTGCCGTGACAGACGCGCCGCACGGATCGAGGCCGTGACAGCGGCCCTTCTGTATTGGCGCTCTGGTGACTCAACCGTACCCGTAAAGATCGCTCGCGTTCTCTGCCCCGAGGGCAAGGAGTGTGGGGTCCTGCACAGTCCCCGAACGTCCCCTTCCCAGGGGTTCCCTGGTCCCACACGAGGACGCGAAGGGTCGGCCCGCCTTGTCGGTCCCGGGAGGTGCCCGCCGGTGGGGTGGGGCGCTTTGCGCGGCGGCGGCAGCAGCAGCAGTCCGAGGCGCAGCAGGCTCCCTCCCTCCCCCCCCCGTGCCCGGGGGACGGCCCGCCCCGCCCCGCCATGGTAGAAAAGGCTGGCCGCCTCCGCACCGCCTCCTCCTGCTGCTGCTGCTGCGCCATGGCCGGTGAGTGCTGGAGCGGGGCCGCCTCCGGCTTCTCCTTGCTCGGCAGGGCCGGGCCGGGCCGGGGCGCCTCGCAGCCCCTCGGCCAACGTCTCTCTCTCTCCCTCTCTCCGTCTCCCGGGGCAGGGCGGCGGGCGCTGGTGGTGCTGGCCCACCCGGAGCGGACCTCCTTCAACCACGCCATGAAAGAGGCGGCCGTCGAGGCGCTGCAGGGGCACGGCTGGACCGTCGCCGTCTCGGACCTCTACGCCCTCCGCTTCAACCCGGTCCTCTCCCGCGACGACGTCACCGGTAGGGAGGGAGGGAGGGAGGGAGGGGGGGAGCCGGACCCCCCCGACCCCCCCCCCCCCCCAGCGCTCCCTTCCTTCCTTAC